ATTCATGTCTTTTCCATTCTACATGATATTGGGGAAGTAATCTGAGCTCAACATTAACAAGAAAATTGAATTGATGATTAAAGTCATTAATTTGGTAAGCTGTGGTAGACTGAATAAAATAATTTTAATTTGTGTAATGAAAAAAGTTATGAAAAAGACAACACATTGTACATGTAGAATAAAAGCTGACTTAAGTTATGAGTGATATGGATACTACGTAAATTACATTTTAAAACCATAAACCGTACCAACTGCAGAGATGTCAGGCAAAGCTGTTATTCATATTGATTTATGTGACCCAAAAATGAAAGTTATAATGAAAACGAACAATTCTATTTATTCGGACACAAGTATAAATTGGTAACTTTGTTTATATTGAATTAAGGCAAAAAAGGGCTCATATCATATCAAACTAACTGTATTTAATCCAATGCTTGCGTCTCCATATTCTGAGGAAACTTTTTGTATAACACTCAAACATCCCGAAACCACTATTTAATGTGACATTAAATTAAAACATATTTCTATATTATCATTTGAGTTCATAATCAATATATATTTGTCCTTGTTTTTCTGACATATATGACTTTAATAATTGGAATAACCAAACAATAAATAATTATATGAATTTACAGAACACTTAAGTAGATTTTTGAAAACATTTGGTACTATGGCAGCCCTTTCCCTTTCGGAATAAAAGACTCCGTAACTATTACCAAGATGCTAACAGCAATATACCTAAGTTAGGAGTTTAACTGAATAAGTAATAGCAGATCACTCTTGGCATATTAATAACTTCAATGGACATATGTATGAAAAAAATAAAAAAATATACTTTACTTGACATTTATTATGTGTTCATTTGTAACAAACACAGTTTGTAATAAACTTGGTACAAATTCTCTTGAGTTTAATATAAAATAATCAAGAAGAATGAAAATAAATACAGTAATATTGTATATGACAAAATATTTTATTCCAAATAAAAATTATAACATTATTTGTCAGTTACCACCTCTTAAATGATTGATAGATAGCATTATTTCTATTTTATCTGGTGGTTTAAGAAAGGTTTTTAAAGAAGAAGAATGTTCCTACATTCACTAAAATAGTCATCCACTAAAATAAATTTATAATGGCAGAAAGTACATTCTTACAAAAATAAATTTGAGATTTGTTTTTTTTTTCTGTTAAACTTATTTGTCAAATTAAGCTTTTGTTTCTTTTAATTGTTAAGTTACTACTGATCAAAACTAAAACATGTTTTAATTAACGACAAATTTTTATGCAATACATTTTCAAAACAAAATTTAATTTAAAAAAATGGGATAGTTTTTTTTCTTTTAATTTATTTCACTCCCAACTAATTCATTTACCTATATTGTAAATTGAGTTACTTTCATGAAAACAGTGGTATATCTTAGACAAATAAAAACAATAGCTTCAAACATTTTTGCTTACCATAAACAAATAGAAATATTATAAACAATAATATACACAGCAAACTATTCATTATTTTGAAATATGTAATTAGTTATTATTTTAAGGTGGTTAGAATGTTTTGACAATTACAGACATTTTATTAAAAAAAAACATCAAAAAATGCTAATAAATCAATTACTTGTTAGTAATTACAGAAACAATGAAAAAGATAATCAGAGAAGAAAAAAAATTAAAGACAAAGAATTGCAAAATATAAATACTCCGAAAGTGTCTTTAAATAAATATTTCTAATTAGAAACTGCACTGTGAATGTATTTTTATAATTATATATGAAAATATCTCAATGGTATTCATGGAATTATTTTGATGCAAAATATCTTTATTTATAATTCACATTATTTGATGATATTTAATCCTAATGGAACAGATAAGGAGTTGTTCTCAAATCTCTTTGTATCTATCTACTTATCAAGGGGCCAAAGGAAATGAGTAGTAAGTTATCCAGGATATTTTATATCATTTACAAATTTAAAACTTTAGTTGTTATATAGTAAATTTGTCTATGATTGGAGTAATATCTCATTAATCATTACATCAAGGAATTATAATAATCTGTATTCTGTCATACAAGTGGAGTTTTAAAATCTATCATGAACTCTTAATATTACCAACAAGATTGGGTCCTATAGAAATAATAATTATAAGCAACATTTCCGTGCCTCATCTATAAATATCCTATTCAATTAGGCTATTTCACTGGCATGAAATAAAAACTATAAACTACTTGGGTGTGTCAATACAAACAAACATTATCAAGTATACCCTAGATATCTGTTTGTACCATTTTTAAGACGAACCGATTAAAAAGCAGAGGCTACACTTAAATTTCCACACACTACATACGCGATCTCGTTCTCACCTAGGTATGTACATGAATCATTCGACATAAGTATATGTGGATACCAACCTCTACTTAGGTTCCATATTAAAAACAAAATCGATCTAAGACGAAATATGAAAGCGGATTAGTTAATTTTAAGCATTATTACCTTATCGCATAACGTTTTCACTTGGTTTTCTGTCAATTGCTTGCATTCATTTAGCTGTTCTATCCATTGATCCAATTCTTTTAATGACGCCTTGTCCTCCATAATTTGTGTCTGTGAATTAACGCACTAGACGTTAACTTGTTTTTAAGATATCTTTATCTATTAAATGTACACAAAACCATGCGAATTTTGTATTTTACACTGTGCCCAGAAATACTGACTATGGCAGACACTTACAAAATGGCGTAGGTACCAATTGCGTGACGTCAATTTGATTCAAAAGAGCGACAGTATCCCCCAAGCGGAATACAAAAGCACTATAACATGATGCCAAAATATTGATGCATTCACAAGCTCGTAAAAATATAAAATATATGATTAACTAAGTCGCACCATAGTAGTAGTGAGTAAAAAATTAAATTCGTCGTTTATTTACTTGCTCACAACAAATATCAGTAAGACCTTCAAAATGCATAATATTTTTTGGCACATAAATAACTTCTTAATTTTATTAAAATGGCAATACAGCCAATAAACAAAGATTATTTCAAATATTACCTAACTGTAACGGATTTGTATTTGATAAAAAAATACCTACTACCAAATATGTCTGTGTATTTCTATGTTATATAAAATACCAAAATAATGATTATTTAAGTAACTAAATTAATAGCCTTAGAATTCAAAATACGCTTATTTGCATGAATTAAAAACATATAAATTATAAAATACATATAGGGCAATCTGAATATGTTATATTTAAGAGAGAACTATTTAAATCTTTTTGATAACTAATAAATCAGTTACGAATCAAAATAATAAAAGGGATTTTTATTGATTAATGATTGAATTGAATTAAAAAATCTTTTAATAAATAATCATACAAACAAGATTTTTTCGGAAAGTATTTTGTTCAATTGAATTTCGCGCGCGTTTAATCTGCAAGAAATCTAAAAATGATAAAATTTAAAACCTACATTTAAGAAAGCGGAAGAAAACATATTTGACTTTGGCACAGATTGTACTTGTAGTGATTCCACTTTTAGATCCATTTTACAATTTTAATATTCGCTAGATTTTTACAATTTAATAATTTTATCATCATCTAAATAATTTATCTATTGACATAAAATATGAAAAATTATGTGTCAAAAACATAATAGTGCCTTTCATGGAGAGTAGAATAGGTAAGGAGATCTTAGATGGGAGACAAGTTGAAAAAATGATCACCTGTAAGCGGTAAATAACAGTTCATAAACCCATTAGAATGGCGCTAGGGTAGCAAGAGAATATGATGGGTATCTATGAATTATTTGAATCAGTTGTAAGCGGAGTAGACCTGGGTCGATAATTTTTGAAACCAAAATAAATAATAGTAGGATGAAACCCATTGGAAAAGGAAAAGAATATAGCAAAAATAAAAGGAAAAATAATTAACGGGCGATCTGAGGTCGGCAAGTGGGAGGGGGTGAGTTTTTAAGGGTAAAAGACGGTTTATCTCGATTTCTGGTTAAACTACAAGTCCTATGGGAAAAGTTAAATAAATTAAAATTAAAATAATAAAAGTAATTAAATAAATTAAAAGTTAAAAGTTTTGGGTAATAAAATGAACTAGAACTTTTTTATGTACACTTTTTTCACATAATCACAAAATTTATTTAGAATTTTTTTGAAAATTGTTAAAAATAACCAAGTTTTTGCGATAAAATATCTGCTTTTTTAAAAAAAGTCGGTGGGCTTTTTGCTCCTTGAAATCTCTACTTTCTGATGGTGAAAAAAATATATACATTACTATGTTACACTAAAGCAGTACTCAAAGAGCTTGATTGTGCGGAGCGTTGCTGCAGTTGAAAAATTCGAAGTTGAGCATTATGCCGTATGCGCTTTAGTACTATACCATTACAGAAGAATTTTGCCTTTTTTCCCCGCCAGATGTCGCTATCACTATAGCCCTCAGTATATTATAAAGTTCTGTAGGTTAAATGGATTTTTTTAATTGTATTTAAAATTTAACTAAAATGGCAAATCATGCAGTGCCAGGATGCGAAGAATAAGGATATCACAATCTTTATATTTAAGGCTATGTGGACTAAGGCTGTGTGATTTTAAGACTCTTAAATCGTTTACAGGTGTTTTTTCGTACTTTTTTACGTATTAATTACAGAGTTTCATACAAACATTCAACCCACATTTTGCCTCCTTATTCCCGTAAAAACCTATTTCTATTTGGGATCCTGACTGATTGATTGATAATGAATGTAAATAGGCCATACGCCCTCCACGCCCTCCTTTTGGGAAATCTTCCCAATTGGAACATCCCTAAATATTTTGAATTTTCATTCATAAAATTTTGTCTATGATGAATGATCGCAATTCGCAATTCATATTTCATTCTCTCAGTCATTCATTCTTCGGACATTACTGGCGTAGTAAAGTACAACTGTTTCTTTCTTTTTGACGCGAGCTTGGTGCAACGTTAGGTGGGTCTCGGCTCATCTGCAAATAATTATGTCTGAAACTTTACAACTTAGGGGTAACCTTTATGGTCACAGTGGATGGGTTACCCAAATTGCCACTAATCCAAAGTATCCGGATACTATTTTGTCATCGTCACGAGGTAAGTTAACAAAATGTCCAAATGTGCATTGTGCACGTAACCTATCTCGAAACTTAATCTTATAACATCACGTACGTTTTATACTTAATAACTAAAATATGAACGTTGTAAGCAAATATATATTGTTAACATTTTATTTCAATTCATATTTTTAACTATTACATTATGATGAATTCTACTTTTGCCACGCGAGTCCTGAGCGGCAAGCGGATATGGGGCTGATAATATGAATTATAGGTTATGTTTGCAGATACCTGTAAACACAATTTTAAATAATTAATTTCATTTCAGACAAAACTCTTATTGTGTGGAAGCTGACTCGCGATGAAACTAACTACGGTATACCGCAAAAACGTTTATATGGTCACTCCCACTTCATCTCTGACGTAGTGCTCTCCAGCGATGGAAACTACGCTTTGTCCGGTTCCTGGGATAAAACTCTTCGTCTTTGGGATCTTGCTGCTGGCAAAACTACCAGGCGTTTCGAAGACCATACTAAGGTGTGATAGAACTCTTAATTTGTTAGGGTTAGTGCCGATGCGCGGCAGAAGATAGTTTTTAAGCGCCTTTGCGAGGCAGAAGATAACTGTGAAAGGTTATGTAGTGTGTATGTGCCTTTGCGAGGCAGAAGATTAAAGAATCACCATGTGACAACAAATCCTGTAAGTAGATTTCTATCAACCATTATGGATAAGAGGTATAACACACATCAAATAGTTGTACCAATAGTTAGATTTAGGAACCGAAATTATATTGCATTACTAAAACTGTAAACCTACAGTAATTAAGACAGTAGTACATCATCATTATCTTAAATCTTTGGCAATATTGCATTAGCTAACACTTATGGTATTATATTGTAGTTGTCTTGCACTTTTTAAATTATTGGTCAAGTGAAATTTAACTAACAAGTATTGTTTTAATGCAGGATGTCCTCTCAGTAGCATTCTCAGTTGACAATCGTCAGATTGTATCTGGCTCCCGAGACAAGACAATTAAGTTATGGAATACTTTGGCTGAATGCAAGTACACTATCCAGGACGATGGTCACACAGATTGGGTGTCATGTGTGCGATTCTCACCAAACCATGCCAACCCTATCATTGTCTCCGCTGGTTGGGACCGCACTGTCAAGGTAAATACTTTTATATGTACATAATTCTGTAAATAATTTTTTGTTTAAAATTTTAACATTCACATTATTTTTCAATAGGTCTGGCACTTGACCAACTGCAAGTTGAAGATCAACCATTTGGGCCACTCTGGATACCTTAACACAGTGACTGTTTCTCCTGATGGTTCCCTATGTGCATCTGGTGGCAAGGACATGAAGGCCATGCTTTGGGACTTGAATGATGGAAAGCATCTTCACACCTTAGACCATAATGATATCATCACAGCTCTCTGCTTCTCACCCAACAGATACTGGCTCTGTGCTGCATATGGACCACTGATCAGGATCTGGGTAAGTTTGCATAAAGATTCTTCATAAATCTTTCATATAATGATTGATGATACGTTTGGCTCAGTTTGTAGTGACCCTACTCGTTGTGCCAGCGGTCATGGGTTCGAGTCCAGCTGGTGGCATTCATTTGTGTGATGAGCATGAATACTCCAGTCATGGTTGTTTATATTTATAATATATGTATTTAAAATTATATATATGTAGTTTATCAACTATCCTGTATCCATAACAAGCCTCGTAGCTTACCATGGAACTAAACTAGATGGTGCTGTGTGTTAATGTCCCAACATATTCTATTGTTTACATATGAATTCTCATGCTATTTTTATATCTCAACAGGATCTTGAAAGCAAGGAGATGGTTGAAGAATTGAAACCACCTGATGTCGTTAAGGACACCAAAACTGATCCCCCTCAATGTCTGTCTTTGGCATGGTCTACTGATGGCCAGACCCTCTTTGCTGGTTACACTGACAACATTATCAGAGTCTGGCAGGTTTCAGTCTCTGCACGATAGGACCCTTGAAAGATAATGGTTTCGTTTATTTTTGTCCTAATAATAAAGTATAAAAATAAATGGAATTGACTTAACAAATAAAAGTGTTTTTATTATGATCTCCAAGTAGATAAGCTACTTAGAATGCAGTTGTGTATCTGCAATCTTTTTGTATATAATGTTCTTTATTATGTAAATAAACTTTTGTTAAGTATCGGTAATCTTTATTGCTTACTCCTTTTAAATATTTTGCAAGTTGAATAAAACATCGTTTAAAATTAACCATTTAATATATGTAAAAAAAAATACAGTCTCCCATATATCTCCACAACCTCAAAAGTCACATACACCCTCCTTAGCTATATACATACACCTGGAATAAACTCTTTTTAACAGACTTCCAAAAACGAGGTTCTCAATTCGTCCGAATCTATTTTTATGTATGTTCACCGATTACTCTTAAGACGCCTGAACCGATTTAGAAAATTTTTTTTGAAAGGGTATACTTCCCAGGTGGTCCCATATAATTTTATCGAAATCGGTCGAGCGCTTATCAAAAATATCAACAATAAATATATTTTTTAAACAAATTGTTTAATCGAATATGTTATTAAAAAATTTCTTGTTAAAAATTACCTGCTTATTACGTCTATACTAAAAATATAAAAATGAAATCTAAAAAAAAAACTACTTTCACGCACTAAAATGTAAAAAATAACTAAACGGGAGTTTTCATTTAGAATAGATACTTAATCAGATATTTTTGAAGTCGGTGCCAGCGGACAATATTTTTAGATATGAATATCTAATAGGTAAATATGTATTTTACGTATCAAAATATATTAGATTTCTTTTGCGTCGGCTGGCACCGACTTCGAAAATATCTGATTAGGTATCTATTCTAAATGAAAACACCCGTTTAGTTATTTTTTACATTTTAGTGCGTGAAAGTTGTTTTTTTTTTTAAGTTTTGTATAAATACAATTCCAACTTAATTACTGTAGGTAGTATTGTTTGCAAACCCTTTGTTATATATGCCTATTCAATTTATTCACTTATAAAAAGAATTAGGGTTCTGCACTCAAATTAAAACGTACCTAGGGACGCACCCGAGCGAAGCGAGGGTAGGTCGCTAATATATAATACTGCTGCAATTTGCCTATTAGGTACGTGGTAAACTAACAAACGCCCACATCCATCATTTGTGTTTATATATATATATATATATATTATAATAGTAGTACCATTCCAAGTATTGATATACTGATGGCTGTGATAAAATTGTCTATAAATATTAATGAGAATTATACCTTGCCACTTAGGCTACTAAATATAAAAGCGAAAATGTATGCAAATATCCTATGTTCTTTTCACAGGATGTGGCACGTAGACGTACATGATATTCATAGCAAAGTGCCTGTGCACACATCCACTTTTTTTGCAGAACTATTTGTTTCAAGTGTTCTACTCTCGCCGAGCAACACTTGCGACTATCCTGGATATCTATATAAAAATATTTTTTTACAATTATAAAGCAATTCTCAACAAATTTACAATTTATATTATAATTTTGTATCCAATAAAACAAGATAAATTATACCAGTATTATTCGGTATTATACTATACAATTATTTTCATATTATTCATCATTACGGAACTTAGTAAATTTTGTTATAAGATTTAACTCGCAAAATAACTTAGTTAATTATAAATACCATGTTTTATATTCAGAAAGTAATAGCAAGTACCTGTATGATTAATTTTAAAAAATGGGAATTGAACCTGCAACTTCTAATAAGCAAATTTCACTCATCATCATCTCCCTGCCCATTTCCCAAATATGTAAGTACTTGGGGTTGGCACAGTACAACTTCTGTACTGCTGATAGGATTTGGCAAAAGTTTTGCGACTGACTGCTTGCCTGACATCAAAAATTTAGAAATTTCACTCATGCTTCATATTACTTAACAGAATAAAAAGTTCATACAAGAAGTAAATTTTTTTAGTGAGTTAAATTGTCTTTCCAAAAAAAATTGTAGCTAGGCATTATTTATAATGTATAGAATTAATTTCTATTTATGTGAAAAAACTTTTGCTGCAAAGAACCTGTAGTAACAAATATTCACATACAATATTGTAAGTATATCAGAAATATGCATCATAATTATATTTTATCAAATTTTATTTAAATTGAAATCGCTGTTGGAAAAAAGCCCCTAAACATTTTTAAGCCTATCATTGTCAGAATGATATCTCCTAAGAAACATGGTAAATATTAAACACTGTTTAGTATTTGGCCTTGGCTATCTAATAGATGAGGGCCATCTACCAGCATTTTTGGGCCATCTCCAACTTTAGTATAAATTAAATATTTAATTAAATCCATATCAAGTGGCTGTATTGGAAATTCTTTAAGAATCTCTGTATTTTGTATTTTTGGAATTTCTAAACCTTTAATAAACTCATTATTCGAAGAGGGGAATGTTTTCTTTATAAGAGAAATTACATCTGGCACATCTTTTTCTAATAAATACAAACATGCATTTGGCCCTGCATCAAATGTATAAGCTACTTTTACTTCACCAGATAACTCGTTATACTTGTGAATAATATCTACTATTCTGTGAGAAACATCAGTCATATACACACAAGGAGGATATGTGTCTAAGCAAACTGCATGGAACTGGTTACTGTCTTTCATTGTCAATTCTGCAAATTTAGAGAAGTTTTTGGTTTGTATAGCTTCACATATTTCATCAATCCGCTTTGGAACACAATTTTTAACTCGATGTTTAAGTAATTCTGAAGTTTCCACTGACAACTTCATTCCCTTTGACGAACTTGTGTGCTTCATTATATCTTTAACCACAAGTATGAGCACTCTCATTTCAGGCCAATGTAAATGATCCGTTACTTGAGAAGCTATTGAATCACTTCCATCAGGGTTAGTACCGGCATGCCACCTTACGAAACCACCGTACATACTTCTACAAGCACTTCCAGATCCAAGTCTAGCAATTGCACTAACATCTTTTTTTATTTTATATAATTTAGCTAAAGCAGTCACTAAGCAGGCGTATCCTGCTGCAGACGATGCTAATCCTGCGGCAGTAGGAAAATTATTTTCAGAACAAATACGAATACTCCACTTCAAAAAGTTTTCGTCAACACTTTTTTCTTCTTTGGCTAGACCTTTAATTGCGTTTAAACAGTTCTGCAGTCGTTGATTATTAAAGGAAGCTTGAATTCCATTTAACCATATCTCATTTTCGGTCAGATCTGGATGAGCACATACAGAAGTTTTAGCGCACATAACATTCGTATCTAAAGTAGCACTAACGGAATCATTTAACGGTAATATCAGCTCTTCATCGCGTTTGCCCCAGTACTTTATTACTGCAATATTTATTGGAGCTATTACTGTGATAATGTGACTCATTTTTTAAATAAAATTTTTAAATTATTCTTTTAATATAACTATTTACCGCGCTTGAACTCGTTATTGTTTGTACTTATTGTGATACGAGTATCAACAAACAAGTCGTCGACCACAATCTGAAATCTGAAGTGAACTGAAATTTTTATTTGTATTTTGTCATTCATGATCAAATCTATGGTATGACGATGCGTTGCGTTTAACAATTATAACGATTTGAAATTTTAAATATTTTATGCAATAATTAATTATCAATTTATCCTCTACTTAGTTTAGTAAATCAGTTATAAGTAATTCAAAATTAATAAAATTTTTACATTATAAAAATAACTATGTACATCTAAAGATTAAATTTAAATTTTTAAGTCTGTAAACTTATATTGTATAGTCTACTTCGAAGAGAGAGGGCAATAGTCGGTGTTGTCAGGATAAATTAAGCATTTTTTTTTGTTAGAAACATCAACGCTGCCATTTTCGTTTTGTGGCACGGTTGAAGCGGCAGCCGTAGTGAAATATCTTTAAAATATCTGTTATTTATTTGTAATATATGTGCTCAAAATTGATATTATAGTGTTCGCTTACTTGTGGAAATCGTGTAAGACATTTTATAAGTGCGTTTAAACTGTCAAGTAATTGTTGACTTCCTTGGGTGGATCGGGTGAGTACATCTTGCATCAATATTTCGCTTATTTTCCGTCGCTATACAATTCATTACTAATCCACTACATTCGAGTAAAAAACCTTACCTACTACACCTAAGATTTTGTCTTTAAATATGATAAAAGTAGCTCAAGTATGAGAGTATGCAATGCACCAAAGAAATGGGCGTTGTGATTTGAAGAGTTCATAGTATCGTCATCCTATATTAATGTACTTATTGATGTTATTTTAAGTGTTATTTATTGGTCAAAATTTAATATTTATTCGGACATGAAAAATAATAAGAATATTTTTTTAAATGGGTTTCCTAAGAAGATTTTTATTTACTTTTTAAAGTTAACTTTGAATATATGTTTCAAATATATCATTAAGATGACTTTGAATGATATTTTTAATTACCTAGTTGTATCAGATAATTTCAATTTGTATTTGACAAACTTATATTAGGTATATCCTTTTCTTTTTTTATAATTATGTGAATTTATTATTTACTATAGTATGACCTAAGTTTACTAATCTGTACACGAATTTTCTATTTTTTTATACTTTAATTGATGATTTTGATATACTTAGTGACAGTACAGCGTTTCTGTCCACTTGTTGGTATCACTTAAATGAGGTTCCAATGATCGATAATAAAGAAAAAAATATGAACTACCTAAACTATTATATTGTATTCTGAAAAGTAAATTTATGCTTTTGTATTTTTAGTTTTCTATAAGATATATGAAAATTTGGTGACCCTTTTTTGTTTATTAGGTAAGATTGATATTTTGCATGATAAAAGCAAAAGCTTGCATTACTTTTTGTTTTAGAAAGATATTTAAATTTTGTCATTTAATTTCTAATACATAAAAAGAAAGAATATTATGTTAATTTAAAAACATGGAATTATATTTTTTTAAGAATCAACTAGGTTCCATAACTAAGATTATAAAACATGGTTCAAATTAAAAAATAATAATTCCTTTCTCCTTTTCATGTGAACTTGAATGTTTTGTTCTTATTTCAATAGAAGTTGCCTTCATTCACTGATATTTTCTAGTTATATAAAATTATATAAGCTTAAAGTTGGGTAATTAATTAGCTTTATGTTATATAAAATAATTATATTCTTTATATTCATAGTTATAAAATTTATGCCTTATAAATTTTTAAATTTTCCCATTCCATAATTATTTTATAATTACACTACGGGACTTAAACACGTTAATTTGTTAGTGGTTATATACCTTATTCCTGACGTTTCCACTGGGTTGCACCAGCCATGAACATGGGCAAACTATGTACAAGACCTGTAGTGTAATTTTTATTTTATTTATTTCAATTATTAGATATTTATGATTTAATAATAATAATAATACCTTTATTGACGTAAATACAAAAGGGTTACAAGACATTTTTTTTTAAACTATATAATTAGCACAATCTTTAAGATTTATGTAAGCAATTCTAGTTTAAAAAGTCAAGAAAAATATTTACATTTTTTTGTTGTTGATTAGCACCAATGAGTAACTGCTAACGTAATTAATGCAGCAGAATAAGTAAATCAAATTGACTACCATATATATGTTGACGCATAAAGTGATATCGTGCGTGTAAGAGAAAATATGTCGAATAAAATTGGTTCGCCAATTAAAACTACGAGACATTGCTGCTATTAACGCTTACCCATTTTAAAATTGCGTGCTGTTTGAATGTACGTTCATTAAAATTAATTTCCATAAATTGTTAAAAGGGTACATAATAGAAAGAAATTCTTGGAATTCAAATCCTAAAATACGGGAAATACGTAATAAAAAACCTGAGTGATGCTAGGGTAGATAGCTAGTAGTATATTATTTAGGTTGATTCCCGATACAAACTTTCATCCCCATTTTCACCCCCTTAAGGGATGATTTCCGGGATAAAATGTATCCTATGTCCTTCCCAAGGTCTCAAACTATCTTCTTACCAAATTTTATCTAAATCGGTTCAGTAGATTCAGAGGTTACTCCCTACAAAGTCACAAACTCACAAACTTTACCTCTTTATAATATTAGTATAGATTTCGTGTTTTTTTGTTTTTGTTTACATCCGTGTACGTTATCGCGTTACAAATAAATCATGTATATAATATAACAAAGCAGACAATTAAGTCTAAGAAATTAGTTCCTTTTTAAACGTGTCAAATATTCAGGTTGCCCCACTTGTGTGATTCAAATGAATCAGGTTAATTGGGCACTTCAAGACCTATCATATTGATATTCACCACACTAAAATATGATAAAGTAAGCTTAAGAGTGAGAAGATTGTTTATTACTTCTAGTTCTCAGCATGTACGGTATTTGAACTAATTTTAAAGAAAAGCTTTTTTACTTCTGGTCGTTACTTGTGTACGTGTTGTCTTATCGAAATTTATTTATTTTTGGATTTTATTTAACAGCTATACACTTTTTTGTACAAATCATAAACATACCAATATTTAAAAAAAAAAAAACATCGAAATGCCATAAGCAAAAAGTTTCTGTTATTAGCATAAAATCTTTGAAATCGTCTAAAATCTAAAGAAAAACCAGGGGCGATGTCAATAAGCCCTCGTATCCCTTATTACATTTTCATGCACACGCATTTTTAGATGTATTAGTATAAACTATATGCACCAAACATGTACATCACACGTACATATAAAAACTAAAGCGTTATAAACTTATATTTTAATCAATAAAACGAATAGGCATGATCATTCGGTTTAGTTATTACAGTTGCAATGATCATTGTAGATAGCGTGGAAAAGATAGCGTAAGTCGTAGAAAATGACCCACATTATAGTAGGGCTCGAGCGCTAGCTTCGATTAAAATTTTAATACATTTTTTACTAGGTAGGTCTGCGGCTAGAACTGGATTTATTTCTATATAATCTAAATAGAACTAATATTACTTCTTATTTGTAAAAGTTGCACAATGAACGCTTTGCTCATACTGTCGTATTTGGATCTAAACAGCTGATTGAATTCAATTGAAAAATAAGTTGTTTTTATTTAGGTTACCTGTACGTTGGTCAACAGTAATGTGCGTGTACGCAACAATATGTATCTAAAGTCTACCTATTTCAAACGTAGCTAGGGACGAACCCAAGCGAAGCGAGAGTCTCTTAGTTATTTATATATTTCAATTCATATTGTATTGGCGTTTAAAAATAAGAAATTTTCTTCTAATATTTTGAGTGTTTTAAGGGCAAAATATTTTAAAATGCAATTCAATTTGATACGGGATAAAATGTTTTAAAATATTGTTTACAAACGGTTCCATTTATTTATTTATTTATATATTTATTTATTTATTTGGTTTATCAAGTTGTACACAATACACGATTACATACATATACAATGATATTTTACAGTTTGCAACTTATAATGATAAACACCGCATGCATAATGACAGGAAAAGTGGCGTTTGACAAAGAAAGGTAAATTTTAAATAGAAAAAATTATTCTTTCAATCATAGTCTTTTCAATATTACCTTCAAAGTAGCACGTTTTTATTGATAGTGAAAACATCTGAAGTGTATAGGTACGACGTGTTTTTGTTTAAGTGTAACGTATTTATTATTGAACATTGAACTAAAGAGTTAACACGCAGCGGATGTGTCAAATTTATTCCTCCCACACGCATTGCTATTGGCTGCAAAGTGTAAGTATTACTGATAATACTCTAATTTTTATTAAATTATTATTTTTCACATGAGTCACGATTTTTTCTCGTGAGCCTGAAATTTCAAAATTATATACTATTTAAATTAATGTATGATTTTTTTTTCTTTTTATTTAAAGGAGCTTTATCACTCAGTGATTATGTCGCCCCCGTAATAAAAATTACATAACAATAACACATTCTTAATTACAATTTACACTATAAACCTATTCATGACGTTGAATGGCAAATAGCAATGTACAAAGCATCCTTGCTTGCTCCGATAAGGGGCAAGCCAAGATACTATTGCACAGACCTACTTGATAATTTTTAATAAAAATTAATGTATGATAAAATTATTTCACTAATAAAATTACCGCACAGACTTTCTGACGAATTAGATTATGTTAAGACCAGTCAACTAACAAGTACTTATTACTGACTACATACTTGGAGCGTTTGTAGGGCGTGAAATCAAACGTTTGACACCATATTAATCTTATCTGTATGAGCTTGGATTCTGACGTAATCACTGCTTTTAATAAAAACATATAGCTTTATACCGCGTTATATTATAAAAATATTATTTAAATCAACTTTCCCAATGACTTGTTACTAACCATTGACAGAATAATTCTGAATATTGAAATTAAATATGCAAAATTTTATAA